AATGGTTACTCTCGGGTAACTACTCTCAACAGCGCAGAAGATCGATAGTGCTGACGCTATGACGTGCACTAATTCCCTTGTGCCAGCCTTCCCGGGAACCGACTGCATTTTTAAATCTCTGCGCATGCCCCACACGAAATCGCACTCGAAGTGTTAGTGACACCCGCTATTAGAGAGTTTGAGCCACCAAACGTTAAAGCCCTATCGATATTCTGCGCATGCGGAGTTCAAGTTTCACACCACTAATGCATCTGTGCATGCGCACAAAATCAATAGCCCTGACGCTATAGCAGGCACAAACTCCACCTTTTTCGCCGGATTTAGCGAGCAACTTACATCGCATGGTAATCGATCATACTGCGCGCCAAGTAATAAAAACGCAAGAAGCAAACTAATTAGTTGAGAAAACCTGTGCCATTCTGGAACCCCAGCTGTTAGTTTTAACAATTTTTGTTTTTAAGTTACCTAATCGTAATACCTTTAAATTGTACGAGCAAGTAATTTATCCTTATGACAGGCAAGTCCCACGCCCCATAGACGCTAAGGTTGTGGTGGATTCGTAGACTTCCGCGGTGGGAGTCAATTGTATTATTATCCACGCATGTTTTCTTGAACCCCTCATTTCGCTAGATGTGAGGGGAGTTTTATATCTATATAAAATGTACTCTCAATATAGACAGCGACACTCGTAAGAGAGTGAGAGACACGGACAGAAAGAGATAGTGACACAGACAGGAGAGAGACAAGAGACAGACACAAACAGAGAGACAGGCTGGGGCAGACAGAGACAGTCATAGACAGAGGCAGATAGAGTCAGAGAGACCGAGAAGCGAAGAAAAAACCAAACAGACAGACAGAAAGAGTTAGAGAGCGAGAGAAGCACAGAGACACACAGAAAGAGAGAGGTAAACCGAAATACACACAGAAAGAGAGACAAACACAGAGACAGACGGAAAGACTGCCAGAGACGCTGAAAGAGAAACAGAAAGAGACAGATACAGAGAGAGAGAGAGAGAGAGAGAGAGAGAGAGAGGCAGACAGACAGGCAGAGAGACGCGGAGAGAGAAAGATAGAGACAGAAAGAGTCTCAGAGACGGAGACAGAGAAAGGCGGAAAGACAGAGAAAGAGAGAGACAGAAACTGAGAGAGAGAGAGAGAGAGAGAGAGAGAGAGAGAGGCGGGGAGAGAGAGAAAGAGAGACTGAGAGGAAAGGAGAAAGAGGGAGATATAGGGCAGGGCATCGGCTGCCGGATTCCGCTAGTACTATACGTTATTTGTATCTTATCTATGTTAAATCCCTAGTATATTACCCTTATATTTGAAACATGTTACTAGGGGAGCCGTGGGAAGTTTGGTTTAGGTCAAGGGAGTCGTGAACGAAAAAAGTTTGAAAATCCCTGAGTTAAAATGAGACAAAGATCGAATATGCATTGAACTCGATTCACCGATATAGTTATTTATCTAGGGCGTTAAGTAGATGGTTTTGCTCCGAAGGCGACATCCAAACCTGAAGGCCTCTGGCCCAAGGAGTTCGAAGTCGCCTCAGGGGCAAAAGCATCAAGAAACGCCTATGGTGCATTCAAAACGTTTTGGTTTACTAGCTCATTGCTGAATCAAACGAGAATTCGAAACATTTATAACTTTTTGCTTCTAAAGTGAAAAGACGCATAGTAATCGTCATTTGTCAATATGACGTCAGATAAAAAAATACGGAATATGTATCTAATTACTACTGCAAACTCGTTGTTCGACTGATTTGTTCGCACAAAATTAAAGAATATTGTTACGTTCCTGTGGAAATTCTCGCAGAAGCTAATAAGGCTACGGACAGTGGTTTCCGGTTAACCGATGTCCCTTGCACATCTTATTACTGCTAGTTACTCAAGAAGCACACACTATATTTTTTTTAAGGGTGATACGTAACAGTTAAATGACTCATGGCAATTATAAATTCACATAAATATTCCAGAATTACAATTTTCATATCAACTAAGTAAAATATATTTTATAATGAGTTATTTTACTTATTTGAGCGTTATGCCATTTATTTATAGTATCTTAACTTTAATAAATCGAATTCATAAAAATGTATGTATTGTGTTGGTAATAAGGCGGGACATAGAGTATTCAAAAAGCCCTCAGGCATAAAGAATCAGTAAGGCTCAAAGGGTATTGACAATACCGTTACGTGTTTTGTTTCAGGTCCATAAACACACAGCAATGACCTGTAAAAAAGAATAATTATTTTCATATTAAATGTTTTAAGTTAACGTTTTATTCACGGCCAAGATTGAGATTTTTTGCTGAAACTGTAAGCCGAGGCAAAAATCTCAATCGAGACCATGACAGAAAACGGAAACTTCACACACGGAATTAGAACATTTTTCTACAACTGCATAAAAATATAATTCACAAGGTTTTGTAAACCTGTATTGGAAAAAGAAACCTGATTCCCCAGACTATGCAGAAATTCGTTTCATTGGGCCATGATAAGAGAAGAGTACCTGTTCTAAATCCATGCGAAAAGACTTTTTTAACACGCCGTTCGCGAAACGCGTTTTTTTGTGCTTGTTTTCCGTGTGCGAAACAGCTAATTGTGTGCGAAACATATTTTAAACGATTCTCAACTGTCTTTCGACTTGACGAAAGTTTGATTTTTATTTACAAACAATAGTGTTACGACACTGACTGGATTCCCGTTACTTTTGTACAAGTTAGGTATTTCTAAAAATTTAATGTTTAATTTATATTCCTTTTGCTGACGCATTGCCTTTCGCTCACGGGGTGTTAAAAATAGTATACGCAACACGAGAGCGACGTAATTCTCGCACTCGTCTCTTTGTGTTCCGAGCTAAGCTCGACTCATGCATGAATTATCTGTTTCGCGCCCCTGTTGTGTAAACTGCTACTTTTCACGGCACAAGACAGTGGTTGGGCAACAATATTTTTTAATGTGTATTAAAAAATGACGAACTTCACGTACGCAGTTGCGTTTTTGCAGTTGTAGAAAATATATAATTTATTTGAAATTTTTTAAATTATTTTTCTACTACCCCCCTCCCCAACCGCTTGTACAACTATATTTTGAAAGAAGACCTGGTGACTCTAAACGCCCTCGACTCCCTTGACTCCTCCTTTGCAGACTTGGGGAGTTTCGAAGTTGTATATTTCAAACGACGACGCCTTTCCGCTTTCCCCAGAGAAGTTAGGAAAGGGCGAGTGGTAGATGGCTTGCTCGAGGGCTGTAGAGGAGTGATCTATGGATCCTATGGTCAGGTCGGTTAGGTGGTGATTTTGGAGTGGTTCGGAGGTAATTTTGAAGTGGTGTTAGAATTTGTTTTGGGAAGTTAGGTTAGGGATGTTACAATTTAGTATTGGGAAAGATGTCTTTTTGTTTGTCTGTCGTGTGGTTCACATGCAGTTTCATTGCTGTAATTTTTTAAGTTGGTGAAGGAGGGAGTCTAAGGATCTCGAGGGAATGATTTTTTTTTCCTGAAAAGTTCTTAGAAGAGAGTTAAGAATATGTACCTGGAATGAAGGTAATTCAACATAGGGTTAGTTACAAATTTTGAACTGTTTTTATCTGAGATCTGGGATGTGTTGGGGAGAGATAGGATATTGTGTTGGGATCTTAATTAGATGTAGTTGATGAAGGTGAATGTTTGGAATATTGGATGGTTTATTCTATCTTCTATTTTGTTTA